TCTCATTTATACCTCTGTGATTGGTTTTACCTTCGTGGTAATTTTTTATTAACATTATTTGTTCGTCTGGGTCTGTTATCGTATTGACCATTTTTAAACAACGGAATAATTTGGGGCCTTTTTCTGAAAAGTTATCTATAAATACTTTACTAAAATCTTCGTACAATTGGTCTGTATGGAAGTACATGCAATATGTTTTTTCTGACATAGTGTATTCTTTCAAAAAATCTAAAATAAATTGATAGTTGTTCTTAGGCGGGATTTTAATTGTTATTATCTTATGGTTTTCGTAATTTGATAGTTTAACATTAAGTTTAAAGTGAACATTTGGGTATACTAAAATTTGGTTTACCTTGTTATTAATAATTTCGTCAAAAATTTTGATTCCAGGATTTGTTGTTTCATTAAAGGTACTGTGTTGGGTTGTTGAGATATTATCACTAGGTTGAACAGGGGGTTGTATTTGTATATCTGATAAAATTTGAATTTTAGGATTTTGTCGTTGGTCATTAATTGTCAATTCACTTGTACTTGGTTGTGGTCATCAGGAGGTGCGGGGAATTCGTCTAAATTTGTCATTTGTTGTTCCACGTAATTTCTTAAAAATTCTAAGGATTCTGCGTCTATGTCTCCGGGGTTATTAATTACTGATTCGGTTTCAAAAGCGTTTATCTGCACGCGCGACAAGGCGTCTGCATTGGTGTTTATTTTGCCGGGTTTATAAATAATGTCATAGTCATATTCTTCTAGCTTTAAGCGCCATCTAATTAATTTGGAATTTGGTTCATGAAGCTTAAAAAGCCAAGTAAGGGGACGGTGATCTGTATATATTGTGAATTTTCTTCCGAAGAGATAAGGTCTAAAATATTTACATGCCCAAACAATGGCAAGTAACTCTTTTTCTATGGTGCTGTACCGTTGTTCGGATTCGTTTAGGGTTCGTGAGGCAAACGCGACAGGTTTGTCGGAGCCAACTGTTCCTTGGGAAAGAATAGCTGCAATTGCGACATTACTCGCATCTGTAGTTAAAATGAATTTTTGGGTGAAGTCAGGGTATTGAAGAATAGGTGCGTTGATTAATAAATTTTTACAAGTATTGAAGGCGGAAATGAATTTGTCATCGTGAATTATTTTTGAGTTCTTCTTGAGTGATTGCGTTAGTGGTTTTGTAATTTTGGCAAAATCTTTTATAAATTTCCTGTAGTATCCTACAAGACCTAGAAAACTTTTAATTTCTTTTTGAGTGTTTGGAATTGGGAATTTTTTTATAGCGTCAATTTTGTCTGGGTTTGGTTTTACTCCATCTTTAGTGATTTTGTGTCCTAGATAGGCGACTTCTTGGTGTAAGAATTCTGATTTGTCAAGTTGTACTTTAAGGTTGGATTGTCTAAGTCTGTCAAAAATGTGTTTTAGTCGATCGATATGTTCTTGTAAGCTTGTACTGAAAATTATGATGTCGTCGAGATAAACAACACAAATTTCGTTTTGTAAACCTCTTAGAACGTTGTCCATAACACGTTGAAATGTGCTAGGAGCGTTTTTTAAACCAAAGGGCATTCTTTTAAATTCGTAATGTCCATTTTCTGTAGAAAAGGCTGTTTTTTGTATGTCTGTCGGTTCCATCTCGATTTGGTGAAATCCATTTGCCAGGTCGAGTGTACTAAAATATAAACTTTTACCAAGTTTGTCTAAAATATCGTTAATGTTGGGAAGTGGGTATTTGTCGTCGATAGTCTTTTCATTTAATTTCCGATAATCTATTACTAAACGCCACTTGCGCTTACCGGACGCGTCAAGTTTTTTTGGTACTATCCAGATTGGACTGGAATACGGTGAAATGCTGTCTTGTATTATGCCTTGATCTAGCATTTTTTGAATTTGAGATTTCACTTCTGGTTTGTGAACTTCGGGGTATCGGTAACTTTTGGTAAAAATAGGAGTTTCGTCAGTTACATTTATTTTATGTCTGATTTGATTTGAAAAGGTCAAAGGTAATTTGTCACAGTAAAATATGTCTCTATACTCGTAACATAATTGTCGAATGGCTTCGTTTTCTTCACGGTTGCAATGATTTAAACGGAGGTTTTTTAAATTTTGTTTTTGTAAATTATCAATATGCTGATTTAATTCAGTATCGGTTTCCATTTTTTCTATAAAATTAAGTTCGTTAATGTTAAAAATTTCGATGTCTAAGGGTTGGTTAATTTTTATTTGAACGGGGTGTTCATTTGAATTTGTTATAGTCGTTATTGCGTGGTTGTCTATAATGTTGACTAAAGCTCGGGGTGATTCTACTCTATCTTGATATTTTTGGTACTCTAAATAACCTACTTGATTTTTTAAATGGGGATTGCAATTTTTTATGGGTACCTTAACCACTTGTTTTGTTCTACTGGGAATAAAATAGTCATAATCAGTTTCATGGGTTTTGTTTTTGATAGTGTCGATGTTTACATTTCGAATTTGTTCGTTTTCAAAAATGATAGGTATTTTAACGCATGGTGTTACAAGTAATTTTGCATTGATATCTACATTCGCTTTAAGTTGTTTCAAGAGATCCATACCAATTATACCATCGTATTTGTTACTAAAATTGAACAGATAAAATTTGTGTGTTTCTTTTAAATTGAAAATTTTGAAGATCGGTATTTCCATTACTTCGTTATGATACGTTATGTTATGGGCGGTTTGAACATTGAAATCTTCATTATAAATAAATCTATGATAAAAGGTGTAAGCTAATTTTGGATTTATCATACTTCAGGAACTACCTGTATCTATTAGAAAATTTGCATTTAAGTTCGGTATGAAAATGTACGGTAAGTTGGATTTGATATGATTAAGATTAATTACGTCGGGTTCTCGGAATGGCTGGCCTGATAAAAATTTTCATGTGAAAGTTCTTCTGCAATGTAATTTCCAGGTAAATTGTTATAATCGTTATCGTCTGCAGTAACATGATATTGGGGTTCATTACCTTCTTCCACAGAACTGCTTGTTGCGTGGGAATCATAAAAATCGTTATAGGAATTTTCGGGGTGGTCATAAATTGAATATTGATCAGGGTGATTTAATTGTTGGTCATCGAAATTTTCGGAATTATTGGTATCTTGTAGAAATAGTTCGTTAGATGTGAAATTTTTACGGGGTTGAATTTTTGTATTGCCTGAAGATGTATCCATCGGTTCTGGTTGGTAATTTGTATTAGGTCGATTTTGGTGATTAGTTTTATTTAAATAAGGGTTTCTTGAAATTTGGCTGGGTCTTTGCGAAAAATAAGGAAGTTTCTGTGTAGGAAACGGATTGTTTTGCTTCCAATTCATTTGCGAGTTTTGCATATGGGGTCTCGATGTTTGTAAATTATTTTGTCTTGGCAGTTGGAAATTTTGATGTGGTTGAAATCGAGGTTGAAATGAACTTGTAGGAGGTCTCCAATGATTATTAGTAGGTCCTACATGGCTATTATTGTTCTGAAACGGTGATGTATAGGGTGATTGATTTGAGGGCGTTATACGCTGTGTTGGTTTATACATGCTTTGCGTATTTAAAAGGTTACCTCTATTTTGACTATATAAAAAGTTTTCTTCTTCTATTAATAGTGACATTGCTTTTTCTAAATTTTCGGGGTCCCTAAGCCTAACATTATTTTGAATTTGGCCACTTAATCCACGGATAAAGGTTTTTAAAGCTAATTCGTCGTAATTTTTTAATCTGAGAGTTTTTTCTGGGACGGTTAAATCTGATGAATTTAATTTTGAAATAATGAGACTGCGTGCGTCTTGACATCTCATTCCAAAATTGTAAGGAGTTTCGTTTTTATTAGGTCGTAAAATAATTAAATCTTGTACGAGACAATCAATGTTGCGCTGGTCACCAAAGCTTAAGTTTAGTGCGTTTTTAATTTCGTTCCACGTTCTTAATTCTATTCTGGAACCTATGAGACTCAAAGCTCTACCTGTTAATTTACTTATTATTGCTCGTAACATAAAATTATTCAAAGTTTCGTTTACTGGATCATAAAAATTCAATATTAGGTTTTCGCAATTATCGATAAAAATGCCGAATGTGTGTGGGTTACCATCAAAATTTGGAATAGTTTCTACATATAATTTAAGTAATGAGTAATTTACGGTTTTTGGCTGCGCTTGGGCCATTATTTCTGGATTTTCAATTTCGTCAATTATTTCACTTTGTTCGCTACGATAAGTTGTAAAAGCGTTAGCAAGTTGTTCTGTTAGTTTTTCTAATTCTGAAGGCATAAATTACGTTTTTTACTAAGTATAAAATGATTTTAATAAACTTTCTCTTTATACCGCTTGAGTAGAAAAAGAACTTTGTAGGGGATACTTAAAATATTAGAATAAAGGAATTGTTTGACTTACAGGAATATGATGCTGATTTTCATGCTCTTTTCTTAAATTACGTTGCTTATCCTACGGTTTGGGTGAATTCGGCGATGCGGTCCAAATTTTTCCCAGGATTGAAGTTCGGCGATGTTGTCCAAAAATCAATTTGCGAGGTTTCGGCGATGCTGTCCTACGTCTCTGGTGTGTGTCAAGTTTTCGTTCGGCGAGGTTTCGGCGATTTTGTCCTACGTCTCTGCGTTTCTCAAAACGTTGCTCTTCTCGTAATCCAATTTTGAACTTCACAAATAAATCGTTATGACGAACCGAATTTTCCGGACGCGATTTTTGTCGCCACACTAGTGGAAATTTCGTTTTGTGAATCCTACCGACTGCGCCAATTATGTTGTTCGATTATGGAAAACGATTTTTAAAAACAATTTTTATTTTTATGACAACGTTACAATGAGAATCCGGACTGAACTTGACTGACTACAATAATGAAAAACTACATATAATTATAAGTTTCCTTATCGAAGGAATGTGCTGATGTCGGTGCTGATGTCGTGTGAAGGGCTACCATAACTTATGAGAACATTTCAGTAATGTAAATAATATATAACATTCAGTACTGGAGTTATCTATATCTAACATATAGTTACATAACATATGCTACATTTCCTAAACATATCTGCAACCATAGCCATGGTACATAACTCGAAAACATTTCCTTGATATATATGTTATATAACATTTAAGATGCAGGTAAACAAATTACGAAACGAATGTATCTCCGTCCTTAACCGAAAATTGTATAATTGTAATTTTCTGTTAATTTCTCGTTATTTATGATCAATATAATGATGGACGTGTTAATTTCTCATTTGTGTTGCATGTATGTAGAGCTGCGCCTACTCGACGCTAATGCAATGCAAGTTGCCGCATTCCGCTGGCCGTTGCCCGCGTTTTCTGTATTCTGTTTTGTTTAATGTTTATGGTGATTTGTGAATTAGCTGACGAGTGACACGTGAAAGTAAGTATATCCTAGTTTATTTATGTTGTTAAGTGTTTAATTAAGTGTTTAAGTATAGCTACATTGTAGAGGTTTGTTTTATAAAACGACGAAACTTATCACAAATATCATAACTTTACGAACAATTGAAAGTGGAGGCGACCTAACCTATAAAGACATGCTTAAGTAAAGGAAGATTTGACCATGTTTAAAACAATTCTGCAACAGACTGCGATTTTATTGAAATTAAATTAGGTATTTCATAGAACTGCAGTAAGTCAAAATCAGCTCACATGATAAAAATGGTTTGGTCTATCCTGCACATGTTATTACTGAAAGCATCGTAAAGAGCCCCATAAAAGGTACGATTGATCTGTTGAATCCGTCGGTTCCGACCGATTGAAACCACGATATCGGTACGGTGTGTCGAGATCGTTAACGATCTACTTAACCCTCGACTTAACCTAATGGGGTATTGGTAAACGCAATGAAAACTCATGAAATGGTGAATATAATTGTATTGATGAATCGACAGTATATGGTCTCTTTGCGGTCAATCTCGTTTGCACATATTGAATTATGTGAGCACAATACTGTTGCGTTTCAAACATCTGAATGATCGATCATAACGACCAATCATTTTGTGTGTGAGTGGTAACCTTTGACCAATCTACCGTCATGATATCCTTTCAGACTGAACGCTATATGGGGCCTTTATGTGTTTGTTACCATTCGCTTACGGTCATCTTAATATTTTTTTGTATTGTGGAGATTGAGGTAATTTTGTAGGAGGCGAAAATTCTTCACCGCCTCTTGGTAGTGTGCATTTTACGTAAACTGGTTTGTTCACGTTATACTAAAGAACAACTGTAATCACTGCTCTTTTTTCCGTAACTTTAGAGACAGTGTGCCAATGACACTTTTTTAAATTATAGGCCCTAGGACCAAACCAACCGTAGTCATGCCCAAAGACTTTCATCTTATGAGCAAAAGGCGTAAGAATCAGTTGATCCAATTAGGAGTAGACCAGATTCTAAATACTGATAAAGATGAAGATATTGGACAAACATCTCCTTCTGCATCTACGACATGTAGTTTATTCTCTGATACTTCACTTGAGGTAGAAAAAAATATTGCATTTTATAAAAATATACCTATCGCAATTACAACTGAAAATGAAAATAAAGCTTTTGTTAGCAAAAATTCTGACACAAGTTTACCCACTGATTCTACGGATGGTGCTTCCTTTGTTTCTCTACCAGACTCATTCAATCACAGTTCTGTTTCATACAATGATGTATTTAATAGTTGTTCATCTTTGAGCTCAAGTTTCAATGAATCCGTATCAGGGGAGGAAAATCTTAAAAAAGAATTACGTACATTTATCATTGAATGTAATGTAGCACACACAACTGCGAATAAATTATTGGATATCTTAAGACGCCACGGGCACGATTTACCCTCAGATGTGAGAACATTATTAAGCACCTCAACACACACAACATCTAGATATGTGTCGACACTGTCATGCGGAGGACAGTATTGCCATTTAGGATTATCATATGGGATTGAGCTTTCGATAAGGAAATACTTTTTAGAAATACCAAAAATAATTAAATTCAATATCAATATTGATGGATTGCCATTGTGTAAAAGCTCGACAAGTCAATTTTGGCCACTGCTAGGATCTATAGTAACTGATTTTCATACTGAACCATTTTTGATTGGAGTGTATTTTGGAAAAAAGAAACCTGGGAATGCTAACGAGTACCTTAAACAATTTGTTGATGAATATTTACAAATTACAGAAAACCAATTAATTATCTGCGGTGTAGAAGTAAACGTGAAATTAAATGCATTGATTTGTGATACCCCTGCCAAATCTTTTGTATGCGGTACTAAAGGTCATACAGGGTACTTTGGTTGCGGGAAATGCATTCAAGAAGGTGACTTCATTCAGAACAGGGTAGTATTTCCGGAAATAAAGAGTCAGTTAAGGACTGATAGTTCATTTAGAAATAAAAACCATCCTGAACATCATGTAAGAGATTCTTACTTAGAAAAGTTGGGCGTTGGAATGGTATCTCGTGTGCCCTTAGATTATATGCATCTAGTATGCCTGGGGGTGATGAAACGTCTTCTTCAATTCTGGATAAAAGGTCGAATAAATCTTCGGTTAAAAGAAGTGGACTTGATTTCTGCAACATTTGTGAATATGAAAAGATCTATAACAAAAGAATTTGTTAGAGTGCCCAGAAGTCTTTTAGAAATTGACCACTGGAAAGCCACAGAGTTTAGGCAATTTTTGTTATATTCGGGGCCTGTACTTCTATTAAAAAGATTACCCGCAATTTATTATGAACATTTTATTTCACTAACTGTTGCGTTAAGAATCCTAATTGATCCAGAATTGTGTGTGACATTAAATAAATATGCAGATTCGCTTTTAGTGTGGTTTGTTAAATATTATGGAGAGTTATACGGACATGAATTTTTATCCTATAATGTTCATAATTTGGTACATTTAGCTGGGGATGTTATAGAACTTGGACCTCTGGATACATTTAGTGCGTTTAAGTATGAGAACTATATGCAAAAAATCAAACAAAAACTTAAAAACTCTGGCAACTATTTGCAACAGCTTGTAAACAGAGTGCATGAAGAGAATAATCTGCCTGCAGAATACAAGGTTCCCAAGAAATACCCTATTATTGTATATTTTAAAAACGATTTACAAGTTATTAACTGCATTAAGTTTAACAGGTTTTCAATTTCTAAATCTAAATATGATAACTGTGTTCTGTTAGAGGATGGCACGTATGGTGTTATACAGGATTTTTCTATGAAGGACAATAAATGTGTAGTGCATATACTCCGGTTTAGAAATGCCGTGCCCTTTTTTAATTTACCTTGCGACTCGCTTAAGATTGGAGTTGGTGTGATACATATCCAACATGGTGACGTAGAAACCATTTTTTTAGAGCAGATTAAAAGAAAGTGTATTATCTTTGACTATTCTGATAATTGCAATAATCAAGAGTATGTTGTAGTGCCATTATTGCATTCTGAATAATTTAATCATATTTCTTTCATTTTTCTTTTGTGTATATTTGACCACCTCCACTGTGCAATACAATATATGATGGAAATATTTACGTAATTATTTAGGTACATTGAAGCATATTTTGTTATTATGTTTAGTTTATATAGTTATAGCTATTATAGAAAAATTTGTACATATGTATACCTATTGCATATTTTAAAAGTTGAAATTGTGTATAAATTGTCTCAATAAGTACTGTTAAGTTTCCAGGATGTCTTATGCGGTAGTGACATTCACAAACAGTAGCGACCATCCAGATGAAAATGACTATTGTACGTCTGAAATTCCAATGTCATGGTTGTGTAATAATAACACAAAATGTTGGTGGCCCACTTCGAATAAGAATGTAGGTTCGCTTATTTCTAAAGGTGCACCGCCAAATACAGAAAAGTGGAGTGTGGAAGATGTTGTAGTTGAACAGACGGGGGGTAATTATTTCAACTTCTATACCACTTGATCCAAAATAGATGAGAACAGTTTGAATTACGCGCCTACAATTTTTGGGGTATTTTGCTTTGGACATTGGCGATCGTAATTTGAATTTTCTCTACATCGTGTACCTACTTAATAATCAAATTACTCCGCCTGTTTTTAAATCATTATATTAATATCTTACTAACCTTACAATTTTTTTGTTTTTGCGGGAAATTCAAACTGTCCTTACTCTTTTTGGATCACCCGGTATATCTACACATTATTAACGATGAGTAATTGTAGTTTCTCTTGAAAAGGGCAGGAAGATTGCTAATGATCTAGATTATGCATCATCGGATGATGCCAGCAAGGGAAGAGGAAAAAGAAAAATTATTAATCCTAGGAAGTCCACCTCAGATGAAGAATGCAATACAAACATATCCTCTAAAAGTATGGTGATATCATTTCTGTTTAATTTTGGTAGTGACTACATATATGTTATAGACTGGAGAAAATTAACAAATATTGCGTTACCACCTCAGTTGCCAGGTTCAAAAGTTGATAATTATGTTCTACCAATCAGGTAAGCCGACTAGTGTTTTGCGGTACTTAATGACAATCCTTTATTTCTTTAGTCCAATGATTGCAGAAGAAGCTGGTGTGAGTGGTGATCAGGAAAATGAAATCCAATGTATGCCAATAATTCTTGCAAGTGAAAACCAAATTCAGTCAATGCCAATAATTCTGTCAGATGAACAAAATTTGTGTGAGTTTTAATATTTTTCAATTAACTCATTTTTATAGTTGATGTCAAGTTCTAGAAAATAATGAAGTTAGAGGAAGTGATGCACATGTTGAAGAACAATTTATAGATTTGGATTTATCTATTCAGCATTCTCAGTCTACTATGAGCAGTAAGTTTTTTTGACACTGTTAACTAGTGGAATAACAACACTTAAACTTCTTGTACATTTTTTAAATTGAGTTGATCAGTTTAAAATAAAAGATGTATCAAATTGGAAGAGAGCTTGCATGATCAAACTTTATTTAATAATTGATACTTCAAGTGCATAATACATGTACATACAATTACATCCTACTTGTTCCTTAGTTTTCTTTTATTTGATCATTTTGACTCTTACATGCATGTTGCAGGGACGCAGAATGTCATAGAAGATCCAAATACAATAAGCGACTATATCGGCAGTTCGAATGCTAATATTGGCGGTATGGTATCTACGTAATATATCTTTGCAACAAATTTTGACAATATAAATTTGTAGAACACCTCACAAAAATTACGAGAATGTTCGTATCTATCAATATGGCGCTAAAAAGCATTGATCAAAGACTAGGAAGACTAGAAACTGGGCCAGAAGGAGCAGTATGTGATAATGAAGGATTGGAACTGATTAAAGGATCTCTTCCATTGAACGACATCGAAGCCATAACAGCATTTGATAATTTGTTATCCAATAAAGAAGTTTCAAAACAATTTGTAAGTTTAACGTAATTTAGGTTTTTTTTTGTTATTTCTTAAAACAGGGCCAATTTTACAATCAGCAGTTATTGTTGACAGAGAACTTTCATACACGTGAATGTTTTTGTTGAGTAAATGTCAAAATGGGCCCTTTAATAAAATTAAGCTTTTCGATTAGCTCGTTGGTTAATACATAATTTAATTGCTTCTAACCAATCAATAAATGAATTGCGGTGTTAATGAAAAGATAATCGAAAAGCCTTGCATACAGTATGGGTTTTATGGACTAAATGTCTTTCTAATTTGCACAGTTCTTCGATAACGTTATCCTTGTTCCTCTGCGCAATGATGTCAAACAGACAAATTACTGAATTGAAGTATTAAAGCACATAATCCCTTTGCGTTGTTATTCTCGCGTTTTTCAAGCATGTACAGCTGTATGTCGAAAATTTAAAAGTGCATTCTTTATATTGCAGAAGAAATATGTTACTGGAATTGGAGGAAGCTGCGGCAAGGATAATATCTCCCGCATATTAAAAAGTGTATTTACAAATGCCTGTGCTGTGAATTGTTCCTGGATGGGTCGAAAAAACAATTTTGCTATGCACAAGTTGCGCTGCATTGCTATAGTAAAAGGTACATGTTTAATGTTCTGATCGTTACAATATTATAAAATATATTTTTCAGATGTGGTTTGCTCAAGTTTTTCCACTAAGGAAAATGAATTCGAGCAAATGTGTAGTGAATGGTTACGTTTTGCGAAACAGAGGCTCAACCGTGAAAAGTAATCTATATGTATTTAGGCATTACTTTTATTTTCATTAGATATTTTGGAAATTTGTGTAAATGTATGGAAATAAACTTAAAAAAATCTTTCTTAAATTTTCATTATTGCGTTTGTAAGATAACAGTTATTGCATTATGCAATGTTGCTGTTATCTTAAAGAGGTTATGGAACAGTTACGTTATTCTGTTATATAGACGTTATCTCGTTGTGTTAGATAACAGTTACTTATTTTGTTATATAACTGCAAAGCAACCTCGTTATATAGTCGCAATATACCTACAATGTGTCTTTGAGTGGGAAATAATAACTAACGTGAACCTTACATGTGATACTCAAGTGATGTTACTTTAACATAAGTAAAGTAACAGGGTTATATAATATCTCTATAACAGTTATATAATGGTGTTTGCTGGGATGTATCAAGGAATTAGAACATTTATTGAAAAATGGTTTAAAGTATTTAAATCTGCATTACACCATAAAAATTCACAGTTTTGTATGTGACGCACCTGCAAAGGCGCATTTTTAAAAGGCATAAAAAATCATACAGGATATGCATCGTGTGAAAAGTGCAATGAGGTTGGTGAATATGTTAATGGCAGAGTTATTTTAAAATCTACATGTTCCCCAAAGCGCACTGATGATTCATTTAAGTTACACCTGGACTCGGAACATCACAATATCTGTCTAGGGGTAATGCGCAAATTATTAAATTTTTGGATGAGTGGCCCCTTACCAACAAGATTAGGTTAAAAACAATAAATGCAATGTCAGCTCGTCTTGAATCATTACGAAAGTACATTCCTGTGGAATTTAATAGAAAACCGCGCTCATTGTCAGAATTACAGCGATGGAAGGCCACAGAGTTTCGATCCTTTTTACTTTATTTAGGGCCTGTTGTACTAAATAACTTAATTGATCCTTCGCTTTATGAACAGTTTCTGCTGTTGCACAGTTCAATTACAATTTTGATCTCTTCCAAACATATTTCAAATCTTGGAACTGCATTAGCAAAGGAACTATTAATTTTGTTTATACAACATTGTGAAAGTGTGTACGGAGAAGAATTTTTAATATATAATGTCCATATGCTTTGTCATATCAGTGATGACGTGGATTTATTTGGAGCACTGGATAACTTTTCAGCCTTTCCCTTTGAGAATTGCTTAGGGAGGTTAAAATCTTTGATAAAATCTCCTCGCAAACCATTACAACAACTATGTCGTAGACTTTTGGAGCTTGAATTTAGTTTTACTGTGCAAGAAAGTAATCCATTACATTCCTTATTAGTACAACATGATCATTACAATGGTCCATTACCAAGTGATAAATCCATCAATGATTTTAAGCAGTTTAAACGACTTTTTCTAAAAACATTTACTCTCTCTGTTCATTCATATTCAAATGCTGATTCTTACTGCATCATTGGTAACAATGCCGTTGTGCAAATTCATAACATTCTAGTTAATGTAAAAAATGAAATATTTGTGGTTGGGAAACAATTTAAATCTAAAACTTCATTGTATAAATATCCATTTGAGTCGAAAAAATTAAATATATACGTTATTAATAATTTGTCCAATAAATATGAAGTTTGGTCTGCTACAACATTAATAGGGAAATGCATAGTATATCCTGTTCCGTCAAAAAACAGTACTGTATCTTTTCCAATTATTCATTCATTGTGTGAAACTTAAACTCTATTTTTTTGTATATATGTATGTATATATCTTATTATTACTGTATTGAATCAATCATTTTGTATTTTTTTAAATAAATAACGTGACTTGTGACCATAGTTTTTAATGAGCTGAAACCGTTGCCTTGACGCGAAGTATAAGCAGTATGTCGTTGACAAATCGTCTTTTTGGCCTTATTTTTAGGTCTATTTTGATGTGTTAAGGTCATTTTAAGGTGATTAGTATCGTCATATGTGACGTCATTTCTGTACATCATTACCACTTAATATGTGGCGTCATGGGGCTGTGACATTAGGAAGTCATTATGACGTTATACTGACTTCAAATATCACGTGAATAGGACAAAAAGGATGACCACAATTAAACGTCATAAAGACGTAGTCAGGCTGGGTGGTGGATGTGGAATCTTGACAGTCTCAGAAACTTGAATCAGTAAAAGCCTCTAGATTGTCATATAAACCTCTATAAGTTAATCCAAAATTGGACGTGCCTCTTAAATATCTAAAAAGTCTCTTAACACTTGACCAGTCATCTTCGGTCGGCTGTAATTGTTTTCTGGCAAGATAGTTTACAGAAAATGCAATATCAGGTCTGGTTGCATTAGCCAAATACATCAGGCTACCTATTGCTTCTCTGTAAGGTGCTTTACTAGGTTTGGATTCTTCGATTTGGGCTGTGTTTAGTTTTGGTTCGTTTGATTTTCGTCTTTTATTTTGTTTAGTTACTTGTGTTGTAACCATAGGTGTACCTTGTGGTTTAGATTCATTCATATTGAATCTCTCTAAAATTGATTCTATGTACTGTCGTTGAT